CTTTTTAAATCTATTGGCGGCATTGTGACACTTCACGCCTCCTCCACGTGATCACCGGAAGAAATGTCGACTACCTGCACAGGGTAACCTGGCGGACGTTGTCTCTTGCGGGGACTCATGTCTTCCTCCACAGTGACCTCCGAAGCGTTACCTTCTCGCAGTAAAGTACAGGCGGCGGCCTGGCTGTTCTCAGTGTACGGCCATGGGGTAGCATCTCTGTAGCTTACGCGAGCGGTGGGGGGCACCAGGCATCCCTACCGGATTCACGCGCAAATCCCCCTGTTCGTGGGCGGATACCACGCACGGCACTGACCATATAGGTCGCTAGATGAATGGCCCCATCGCTCCTTCATGGCTCTTCGGGGACTTCTCATTCAGCTTGTATAACACTGCCGAGCCCACTGGGAAGTCAGTTGTCGACTGTCCTTTAGGTAGACCTGGCTCTCGATGGTAGATCTGAATTAAGGTTCCCGACCGCGCTGGTGAGTTGCAGCGCGGTCGAGAACCTTAATTCTCATAGCGCGTCTAGTCGGGCCTGCTCTTGGTACACGAGTGGCACTTCGTTGGAGTACCTGGCCTCGGTCCCAATCAGGGCCATTACGGGTGATAGTTCCGTTGCCGGATGCGGAATGGAGTTATGAGCTAGTTCGGAAGCAGCTAACGCTCCCTTGAGCTCGATGAGTGTTATAGGATTGTTGCCCTGGAGGGCTTTACTCAGCGCTCGGTGGCTGGATTCATTTACGCCGTTGCCTTGCGGTCGGTAGGGTGAGGTTAAGTGCAGCTTGCTTCGCCGCTCGTTCATGACTGGCTGGAAGAACTGACTCTTGAACTCACTACCGCCGTCTACAAGGACTGCGATGGGCACGCCGAAGTACTGCTGCCAATGAGTGACTGCAAAGTGTCTCACGGTCTGTGCGCTTTTGTCGCGTATCACTCGGGCTTGTAAGTACCTCGTGGCATGGTCGATTACGACTACGATGTTGTAGTCGACCCCTCCTACTGCCCGCGGGCCGATTAGGTCGAACGAGACGA